GTGAGCTCACCTGTATGCATTGTGAACTATCTGTTGGTACAGCGAATTGTGGTAGTGCTGGAGTATTTTTGCTGATGGTGTCACCGGTGGTACAATTTAGGAGCCCTCAATTGGCTTAATGTCATGGCATTTTGCATCCTCCTCTACTAGTGATGGTCTAAAATTTGGGGGCCAACAGAGGTGAGGCAAAGAACCTCACCCCCCCACAGGTGCAAAGGCCTATCCACAAGTATGGCTGTATGCTGGACCGGTAGTCAGTGACGGGTATGATCCAATTGCAGTGGTACCAACCTAAGACAGGAGGCTGACGCCTAGAGGTCAGTTCATCCGATGACGGGTAAGGACCATATGTTGAATTGGACTGCCTAACAGGCACGGTCCCTAAGCCACATGCTTGTTGTTTAAACAGAGAGGGGGAGATGTTGAGAGCCACAGCCAAAGGGGCCCCAGCAAACTTCCAGCTGCAGCAACTTCCAGCTGCTGGCTGATGATTGGCTCACAGCGGCCCCAGCAACATCTAGCTGATTGGCTCCTCGGCCCCAGCAACATCTAGCTGATTGGCTCCTCTGCGGTGATGCTCATTGGACTGTTTCCCTGCCCTTTCAGACCACGGAGCTGCTCATTGGGGGACTTTTTTGGCTCCGCCCACGTGACCCAGCCAATCGGCCTCAAGAGCAGGAGGATTGTGGGAGGTGGAGAGAAGCTTGTGTGGGAGAGAGAGGCTTGGGGAAAGCCGGTGGTGGCAGTTGAGGCTCTGAGGGTTTTTCCTGAGAGACTATTTTGTTTGTCGTGTGTGGTTCTAAAAATAAAGTTAGTTTCTTTTGACAAGTGGCTCCTGATTGTGCCCAGCCAGACTGCTTCATATCCCTAGCTTTGCCACCAGGAAGGCCTTCCTTTTGTCTGACCTCAGTCCTTCCTGCTGCATGCTGAGCATGTTTCCTTTGGCCCTCAGGGGAGAACAGCTGTGAGGGAGCAAGTATAGGGCACTGAGCCAGCCCAGGTGGGGCACCCGGCTCCTGGTTATGCCCGGCAGGTTGGGGGAGTTCACCTGAACTGTATCCCTGCTCCTCCCACCGGAAGGTGTGTGTGAATCTCCACTTGCGGATCCGGAAACAGGCAAGTGGGGCGGCTCCCTGCCCAGTCAGCTGCCCCGAGTGCCCCAGAGCTATAGAGTCTCTGCAGGCAGCTCTCTAGGATGCGTGCTGACAGGGTCTGTTTCTACCATGAGCCACAGCTGCCAGCTGCCAGGTGACTCCAGAGCCACCCAGAGCAAACAGCCCCACCCTCCCCAAGCCTGAGAAGTGAACCTGTCAGGGCTGGCAGTGCTGCAGGGTGACCCCGGACCCCTTCCCCTTCTGGGCCTGACCAGGAACCACCCTTGGGCTCTCTGAGGCAGGCGGGAGCTGGGTGGAGGGAGTGGGCAGCCACCCCGCACCTGCCCAGGGGCCCTTCCGGTGGTCAGGAAACCCTACAGCCCTCCTCTGGGGATCAAGGACGCAGGGTCCATTTTCAGAACTTGGGGGGCCCTGGGGTTGTGCAGATACCCCCTCCCCAGCCTCAGTCATGTGGCGGGGTGGCCTGAACATTCTCCAAGCCTCTCCAGCTCTGGAGGCCGGTGGCTGAGGCCAGAAGCAGCGGGTGACTGACCAAACCTTGCAGAGCCCTTGGGTGGTAGCACCCTGTCTGGCGGGACTCCCCCAGGGTCCCCAAGGCTCTAACTCGCCTGTGGCAGGGTCCCCAGGCCTCTCACTCACATGGGAGGCCCTGCCTGGAAGCTTGAGAGGCTGCCCTCTCTCCCTCCCGGGCGTGGGCGTGCGGGGGTGGCTATCGTGGCTGGGTGACCTCCTCCCCCTCCCACACAGGCCCTGTGGTCACAGGAAGCTGCCTGGGGACAGAGGCCTTCTGTTCCAGGCCTGAGGGCCTGCTGCCCAAGCCCCTGCTGCTGCCTTCCTGCCCGGGCTCTTCAGAATGGCTCCCGCCCCTGGGGGCAGCCCTGGCCAGCGCTGGCCCTGAGGCCCAGCCCCGCTGCCGCCCAGTGCTGTTTGTCTCGGTGTCTCTCTGGGTTTTTGTTTCTGGATCCCGCGAGGTGGGGACCTCTCCGTCTGTCTGTCTGTCTGTCTCCCTCTGCCCCCATCCTGGTAGGATTAACTCCAGATGTGCTGGAGGTTTCTGGAAGACACACAGCCGGGATCTTTCCCTCCCTGTCCACCCTGCGTGGCTGCATTTGTCCTGGGAAACATGGGACCCGCCATCTGGGAGCGGGAAAGGGGGTTGACATTCCCAGAAGCCCTGCCCTCGGGTGCCGGAGTGGGAGCCATCGCCTTCCCTGGTTGAACTTAACACTCTGTGGGGCCTTGGTGGCCTGCGGGAGGCAGGGTTGTGCCTTGATCTGGCCAGGCTGGGCACACACTGGGCGTAGTTGGCAGACACGCGTGACTGGCCACTGTAGGCCCCGCGGACTCATCTGTCCTGCCAGTGTTCAAAGAACCGACGATGGCCGTGGAACCCCTACTCTGCAGACACGAGTGGATTCCTTCATCAGCAAGCATGAATAGAGCACCAGCTGTATACCTGGCCCTGGGGTCCAGGTACCAGAAAAACCTGACTTTAAATGATGAGGGTTGATGCGACCACCTTTGTCAAGATGCTGTCCCCAAGTGAGGTCGTGTTTGGATGTCCCCGGGGTTTGCACGCCCACATAACTTTTTTGGAGGAAACAATTCAGCTCGTGACGTCAGGTGTCCTCCCCATGGGTCCTGGCCATGTGGACTTCCTGGAGGGATGGGTGGGGTTCCCACTCTGGGGGTTTCCGCCAGTGCACTGGCCTCTCAGTTCAGCCCCTTAGGGACTAAGGTGACGCCACCTGCACTTGCGCTGAGAGAGTGAGCTCAGGCCTCAGTGAGACACAGGCAGGAAGCAGCCTGGACGTGGTCCCGAGGGTCAGCAGTTCTCCTGTGCCCGACCTGTGCCTTGTGCCCTGCTCAGAGTGCCAGTCCCATCGTAGGGACCCTGGAGTGCCTGACCTGCCTGGAGCTGTGGACGCTCACTCTGGGTCGGGGAGACAAGATGGCCCTGCAGGAGGGAGCCTGGGCCCTGGTAGATGAAGGCAAATGCAGAAGGCTAGTGGCCTCCTGCTTTGTTTGGAGACTAAACAAATAGTTCTCCCGCCTGCCCCACAGTGAGTGGCCTCTGTGCTGGACTCCAGGCCTGCCCTTTGCAGTGACCTGGGGATCTGGAGAAGACTTGACTTCCAAGGGAATGTGGGGGGAGGGGGGACCGGGCTTCTGTCCCCAGATGCTGAAGAGAAGCGGGCAGGGTGGACCTGGGGAGCTGGGCCTCCACCCACATGCTCCTGGACATGCTTGGGGCCCACTGGGTGGGGATGGACCCCGTGGACAGTGCCCAGGCAGACTGGACAGAGGCCACCCAGCCTTGCAGGTGCCGAAACCCCCCCTCCTGCTGTCATCTGTCCAGCCGTCTCCTCACCGAAAGCCCCTGTGCTCGTGGGTGGTCTTGACATCTGGGACGCATCACCTGGGGGGTGGTCCTCGCCACAAGGGCTGGAGGCCTCTCCAGCGCTGGGCAGATTGATGGCTGGCTGGGACCCTGTGGTGTGGGTGGCCCGCGGCCTGCCTGGCCCGCTTGCTCATCCGAACAATGGGCACAGCCTGGCTCTCTGAGGGTTAGCAGGGCCTGACCTCTGCTGCCGACTGGGCTGGGAGACAGGCTGTCCCAGCCAGGTGGCCCCAGGTGACCAGCGCCTCCTCTCCTCCACCTGACCTGCCAGCCTTGCTGTTACACGGCTCTTGTCTTCTTGGGGCCAGGGGAGCTGAGGGCCCCAGCGAGGAGGCCTTGCAGGTCAGGTGTGGGGCCTGAGCCTCTCTCATGTGCCAGGAGGCTTCTGGAACAATGCAGTTCCTGACAGTGGTCACTGACAGCCACTGGACGGGTCACAGTTTAACCAGATCACCCCGGCTCAGAGTGTCCCCCAGGCGTGGGGTGGGCTGTGGTGTGTGGTCCTGGGCATGTTGGGGAGGGCGTGTGCAGTCCTGGAGTTGGCCAGAGGTGTGCCTGTGTCCAGGCTGGCCAGGGCCTTGCCTCCAGGAGGCAGGAAGGGCTCTGATGGCCTCATTCCTGAGGGTCTGCCCTCCCTGGAAGAGTTGGAGTGCCTGGTGGGCACTTGGTCACGCCACTCCATCCTGGAAGAGGGAGCACCTAGACTCTGGAGCCGTGGCTTGGTCCACCTCCCGCCTCCTGCTGTGTGATCTGAGCATGTCCTGCAGCCTCTCTGTGCCCAGTTTCCTCATCTGTGAGATGCAGACATGCCCAGGGTCCACTCTGTAGGACAGGCGAGGGTGGGGAGAGCAGGTGTTGGTGGAGAACAGAACGGCACCCCTCTCGTGAAAACAGGAGCAAATAATGGGACTGACAGGCGGGCAGTGTGGCGGCCTGGCCTCCTGACTTTCCATCCCTCTCTTGTCTCGGTCCCTGGCCCTGGGACCTCTCATGTCCACCCCATCTTTCTGTCCTTGAGAACATTGTCCTCTCTGGCCCACCATATCACCATGTCACTGAACTTGGTATTGGAAGCAACCTTATTCTGAGCTGTGTTTTTAGCTGGGCTGCCCCGGGCTGGTGGCTTTGCCTCTCTGGTCCTGTCTTCTGCCACCTCTGATTGGGGCAGGAGTGGTGGCAAAGGGCTCAGCCTCCCCAGGGACTGGAGGTGAAGGCTGAGCTGTAAAGACCACCCTGGGCTGTCTGCCCAGGTGAGGGGTGGCAGCAGTATCTTAGGTGCTGGGTAGCTTCACTGGCCAAAGCAGGCCGGTAGCCCAGCTTGGTGCCCCCTGCAGCCCCGAGTTCTCTCTGCTCTGGAGCCTGTCTGTTCCTGCCCCTCTCCTGGCCTTGGCTTCTGCATCTGGGGAAGCCCCGCTGGCCCCTGCCCTCCGGACTCTGAGCTGCTTTGGATACGAGTTTTTTTTTTTTTTTTTTCAATCTTCCAGAAACTTCAGTGCCCTCCGGAAGGAGAACATATATGAGAACAACAAACTGGTGAGTCCCCCACCTTGTCCTGCCCTCCCAGCCCAGCCTCAAAGCTGGTCCTGACCCCAGCCAGTCTTCCCCTGGCTGCACGGGTCCCCTGAGGGCCCGACATAGCTGTCCAGCTCAGTGGCCAGCCCTCCGCTGGGTGACCCGGCATTCCAGGAGTGGCTTCTGATCTTGGAGCCCAACCTCTCTGGTCCTCTCTCTTCCTCAGTAGGGTGGTCAGGGGGCAGGGAGTGGCCAGGGAGCATCCTTCCCTGAAGGGGACCTGGTCCAGCCACCCAAGATGGAGAGGGGTCCCAGGAGACTGTGGGAGGGCCAGGCTTGGTGGTCCTGGGTAGGCCTCGTGGAGGTCAGCAGGAAGGGCGTCCCAAGGCAAGGGACCAGAGGGGCAAAGGCCCTGAGCTGGAGGGTGCCTGGCTGGGCGGACAGGCCGAGCAGGGTGTGGGGAGGACCTGGGCCTCCCCTCCCAGCCAGATGGGACCCCGGGAGACGAGCTGGGAGCTGCTCCTGTGGGCTGCTAAGGAGGGGCAGGGATGGCCCATGGTGGTGGCCGCGGATGGGACTGGATCCTGGCCTGTTTGGAGGAGGGGTCAGAGGAGATGGGAGCCTCGGGTTTGAGGGCAGCAGGACGCCCTCACTGGGCAGCAGGTCTGCGAGGGGCAGGCGCCCTGTTTGGGGTTCGCATGGGGGTCGTGTAGGCAGTGGCAGATGGAGCCTGCCACACAGGGCGGCCGGGGACAGGGTCTGGGGCCTGTGGGTGGATCATCAGGGTAGACAGAGCCCTCCTGTCTGGGGCCCTAGCCTGGACTAAGTGAGGCCTGTGAGCCCAGAGGAGCTTTTGTGCGGCCACCTTTGGTGGGTTGGTGCTGGCCCTGGGGGTGGGAGCCACCTGCGGCCACGCCTGGGGGACTTGATTTCCAAGTGAGCCCAGGAGTTCGGGGTGGCAGTCAGCAGGTGCTTGGGGACAGCCCCTGGGGGGTTGTCTGCTGGAGGGAGGCAGTGGACGCTGCAGAGCCGGCCAGGGTGGCACTGAAGCTAAGATTGGCCCTGTTCAGTATGCTGCAGGTGCTCTACAATGCACATTTCCCGGCCCTCCCCAGTCCAGTTTCTTAGCCTCAAATGTCTCCTCCCCATGGTTCAGGCTGCTAGGACACAGGCTGCTCTTGTGTCCCTTCTTGGCCCTGGAGGCCCCGGATGGGTGTTGGCCGTGCCCACAGAGAGGCTCCTCCCTGACTGGACAGGGTCTGGTGTCACAGGGCCGAGGGGCCACAAGGCGCTCAGGGGAGGCTCCAGGAAGATGTGAGGTCCCCCAGCAGAGCCCACCAAGTCTGGTTCCCTTGAGCAGCTTCAGGAACCTGGAATCCTTGTCCCTTACCCAGGTGGGCGGGCAGAGCCCCCGGTCTCCCAGGCGGGCAGGGCTTTCTGGGCTCAAAGCCTGTGTCCTGCCTTGCTTGGGCCTTGGCTCCCGGGTGGACTGGGGCCAAGGACAGGGGCTCTCTTGGCCTGCTTCCTGCTGACCCCTGCCCACCTTCCAGGCCTTCCGTGTGGCTGAGGAGCAGCTGGGGATCCCAGCCTTGCTGGACGCTGAGGACATGGTGGCCCTGAAAGTGCCTGACCGGCTGAGCATCCTGACCTACGTGTCCCAGTACTACAACTATTTCCACGGCCGCTCCCCCAGTGAGTCCCTGCCCCCTGGCCTGGGCCTGGCCGCAGGAAGGAGACCAAGGCCTGGTCGGGCCTGGGCTCTCCCTGGGTCTCCTTGGGATGCCCTTCTTGGGGCCACCAGATCCATTTATGCTGTAGCCAT